GTCATTTAATTTGAGTATGCCTTTTTTCTGTAGTTTTGGGGAAAAAAGTTCTTAGTTTAAAGACGTTGAGCAATCACGACATGCTTCTCCCTTTTACGATGTTTGAAGGTTTTACTAAAATTAACTTATTTTTTCTAATAACTTGTCAAAGCCTTCAAGGATGTTATATTTTGATTTGTTGATTGAACCTATATAAATATGCCATTGCAATACACGTCTCCCACAGCGCGACCATAACGATCTTTATCAAAAACCTGAATTCTCACACACATTTTTTTCAACAATTTTAGTCAGTTCTTCCTTTGCCTTTTGCCCATATGGCATTTAGCTCTTTGGATCTGCTCAGTAGAGGTTTACAATCAATGGATGCACCAGTGTAATCATTTGAACTCCAATAAGTTCAAGGTATTGATTGTGTAATTATTTACCAGTTCATATCTTTTGCTTCTAATTTTGTTATGTGATATCTATATATTTTTCTTTGCAGAATACATCATCAGCAAACATAGTGAACCGATCGAAGAATTAGTACAATCATCGTACTGGTTCACGCCCTTTCTCATACATAGTGGAGAAGATGATTGAGGTAGTGAATTTATTTGGTTATCAACATGACGTAATTAAATAATTTTGCTAAGAATTTGAATTTAATAATTGAAACATGCATTTTTTTCTTATTAGGATGGTTCGAAGTTTCTCGAAGTCGACACATTTGAGTTCACTTATGCTGGAAAGAACAAGTGTTAGACTTGTAATGCAACTAAAGCTCAACATGTAAGAAATACTCAACATTATAAACTTGTTTTCTTAGCTTGAGATATGATTATATTTCTTAACTTGTGCTATATCTCTTTTGTACAGTTGTGTTATCTCTTGCAAACTTTGATTTTGTGGACTATTTTATATATCTTGTTGGTTGTGTTTGTAGGATGAGATACTTGTCAAAGAGTATGGATATCTTATAGAGAGGGCAAAGGAACAGCAACTTTCCGAAGATACCCCTTTGGAGTAGATACCGATAGATGATCCTGATGTCGGAATTAATATTATAATGTCTGTTCTAGGTACGAAGCCCGGGCGTCGAATTCTTGGGTTAGGAGATGGTCGTCTTCGAGCCATTGGGATATCTTCTTCCAATGTACACAATTTGGAGAAGGAGTTGGAAGCAGAACGTGCTGCTCGAAAGGTAGTCGATGTAGCTCGAGTAAACATGGAGTAAAATGCGCAAAACAAGCTAAAGGTTGTTGAGTAACAATTCAATTCTACATTACAATCTTCGCATCATTCTATGTACCAACTATGTGGTAGAGTTCCTGGCTTCATTGTACCACCATTTATATGATTGTCAATAGAGAATAATGATAATGAGAAAGATGATGCTATTGAGGATGAAGAGAATAGCTTAGGTGAGAATCAGTGCATGTCTAATTAAAGAGACTAAAGATCATTTTTTTATTTGCATAACAATAGATATATAGCATGTTTGCTTTGCTTATTTTAACTTTAGATGTAATCATACTTGGTGAAATTCATTTATTCGTGTTTTGATGAAATATTTTGGATTTAGTGTTGATTGACATTACGTTTTAATCGATTTATTATGATTTTTGTATCTTTATATTATTTTGAATGAGGTTAAAAAAATTAGTATAATATAAATAAAACGTAAAAAATATAGAAATAATTTAATTTCTCCTTGCAAATTCTTTTTTAATAGCCTACAAATATCCTTTCCCCACTAAAAAGTATTTACAGAAAAACATGGTTCAACCCACAAAATAATTTGTTCCACATTGTCACGAACTTTTAATTGTAAGGAAAGATGTTTATGCTTGGCTCACAAATAAATTTTCCACACAAAATATTATTGTGGGGATGAACAGATTTAGCCCACAAGATAATTTGTAGGGACAAGCAAAATTGCTTTGTGTTTAGAAGTAACTTTAGCAGATGAATTACTTTGTTGGAGGAAAACTTACGCGACGAATTATATTCGTCTCCAAGGGTTCGTAAGGAAAAACCTTAGCACACAAATTTCAAAAATTTGTAATCTTATATCTATCCCCTCGATGTTTGCCCCACAAACGTACCTACAAACTTTTTTTGTCTGCAAATGTATTTCCTCACAAAATAAGATTCTTTCCCCACAAATAAATTTTGTAGGGAAAACATAAAATTCTTGTAGTGATTAAGAGTGCTACCCGCTATGAACTAGAGCCTAAATCGATACTGCGTGAAACAATTGAAGTTTGATTAAAGGGATCTAATTCAAAGCCTAGTCCATTATGACTCC